TGTGAATAGATAGTCACCGTGGTGAATAGTGCATCGGTGTATGCTTGTCAAATGGTGTAAACATGGATTGATAGTTTCGGAGAAACCCTTATGAGGGTTATCATCAGTCAGTTTGGACCGAATTCGTCCTTTTAGGGTGGATCGATTTTGTCCTTTGACACAATCAGCCACGTGAACTGATAGACGGTGCCGGAATCGTTGACCCTGGCCCAGTACTGCCCATTGACAATCATGTTGTGATTCATCTGCTTATAACGCCCCTCGGCTCTGGAGTTCCCGTAGGCGACCTCCAGGACATCCGTAATGCTGCCATTCCGCACCTCCTCACTCCAGAATGGGACATGTGATTCGCTGCAGCCAGGGTCGCGTTCCCATCAGGGCCGGGAAGTTCACTGTTCAGTCAAGATATATGTAGGGGCATGTTCGCTTCCTCTCGGCGTGCGGGTCAGAGCGCAGCGATGCAGTACCAGTCGTCATGCTGGTCGCACTCCTTCATTCAGGAGGGCGCCATGACGACCCTTCCAGTCGGGTCGGGCTGACTCTCGGACGGGATATCACGTTTTTTAACTGACCACTGGCGCTGTCTGTGGCCCGCAGGAGGCGCAGTGGCCCAAGCACATGCTGACGTGCGCTAACCAGCAGAGCGGCGGCGGCCAGCCGGTGGCTGTCGAGGAGGAGACGGAACAGAGCACGGAGCCGGTACAGGAGCCACAGCAGGAGCAGCAGCAGGAGCCGCAGCCGCAGCCGGTCTCCTGAGCGCGCTGACTGAGAGCTGTGGGACCTGGTCCCGTCCGCGCCATCCCCGGGAGACGGGAGTTCATACTTCACTGACGGACGCTCTGCTGCCCACTTTCTGTTTATTCGGTGTGTACGTGCGGAAGGTGGTGAGCGCGATCATCTCTACTCGGAACGGCGGGTGGACGTCGTGTTCCAGTTTTATTTCGTTTACCGGTCACCGGTATGTTTGTACTGAGAAAGCGGACTTTTCGAGAGGTTTTGGTTTGGATGGAACTGCTTTGCAAAGTGAGCTGTATGGAAGGTAAACTTTCACCTGCTGACTTGTTCTCGATAGCGGACATACATAACATACGTTTTTGCGTGTGCATCAGCATAACCTGAGACTCGTTTTCATCTCATAGTGCCGACCGCTGCATTCCACGGCTCTCTTTCTGCTAAGCCAGCGCATACAGCCCCCGCTGTTCGCTTGGTAGTCGTGCGCTGCATCGGTCATGTCACATTAAAGCCTCGCCGGCCACCGTGCGCGCGTCCTTTTGGAGTTTTTACACCACCGGTCTCCGCGTCATGTGTATGAAAGGTTCGACAATACCGCTCGCTTCAACCGACCAATCATGATTTAGTTTGATAATAAACGTCGGAGTCGGTCAGAATCTGGTTTTATTAGTCCATGGTATACAGGTTCAGCGAATTGATTAGCAAGAGTTGCGACTAACCCCGTGTTCGATGTCTCTCGGACTACGAAGATACTACGTCGCTACGTCGCCCGGCCAATCCCGTTCAAGATTAGCGGGGGCTCGGCTGCGGTTATGGAACGTGATTGGCCGGACGGCGTAGAATCCTCGTCGTCCGAGAGACATCGAACGCGGGGTAAGATTACTTCATCCCTCGTTCCGGTGGCTGCCGCCTGCCCTCCCTCCATCTGCATCTGTGAGTCAATCGTCAACTGTCTGAAATGGGGATAAAATTTTGAAGCCATCAGTTTTTCGACAGTAACTTTTTGGTAGACGTGCTAGAACAATGAAAACAGCTCGTGTAAACATTATCCCGCGTTCGATGTCTCTCGTACGACAAAGATTCTACGTCGCCAGGCCAATCACGTTTCATAACCGCAGCCGAGCCCCTCCTGGCCTTGAACGGGATTGGCCGGACGTAGAATCTTCGTCGTCCGAGAGACATCGAACGCGGGGTATAACCTTTTTCCTTTAGTTCATGGTCTCAGCTGAGGGTCAGCTAAGAGGCGTGAAGAGAAACCTTCATCTTAAAAAGTTTTCCTTTATGCCTATGTAAAGGAAAACTCTGTGGTGAAACATCACTGAGAGCTGCCAAATTGTTTGGCGAATGTGTGGGATGGTGCGGTTTGGCTTCATTTATCGGTGAAAATCCTGTTTATAGACCTTGGATATATTTTATATGTCGTTCTGCTATTATATTCGAGAATATTGTAGTAGCATGCATGTGATTTATTCCGGTAATACCCTGTAAAGTAATAATTACTATCATACTATGTGGCGCAAATGTCACTACTGCGTCTTGGTTGACAACCCACGCAGTTTTAAATCAGTCGGTGACACACCAGGGAAATAAGCTAAAATTAGAGCACTCTATTTATTGCTCCCGCTACTTCACCGTCTCCCATAGGGTCCTGTCGAGGCTCTAAAAATGACGCCGATTTTTGCACCCTTCTCACGAAAACCGCTCGGACCGCCTGGAAACCAATTGTTCCGCTCTAAAAATTTCATGATCGACGGGAAAATGAATGAGGAAAAGATTGGTCCTGAAATAATTCTGAACTCCCTGTAGAACATATCGAAATATGGCTGCAAACTAGGAGCATGTCAAAATCGACAAAACAATACAAATAAACTTACCGGGATTTTTTTATTTTCTATGCATCTGTGTATGAAATCAGTCGGTTTTTCGGAAAGATCATCTTCTGTTTAATAAATAATTCCACAATTGCAATCGAGAAAAAAAAACATTTCCGCTGTGACAACAGTTTTGGCATTGTGCCAGTAGTGTGGCGTGCGCGGTGCTGCGTGGTCGTCGGGACGGAGTTGTGAGTATTTTCGGTGTTTTAAATGGTTGATGGCCATTTGAACCAGCTTCATATTATTTCCTACAAATTTTTGCATCAAATTATTGCTTTGAAAGACCATTGAAACCCCTTATCTCTTCATGAAACACGATCATATTCATCGTCGACGAAAATGGCGCGGGACTCCATGTGCATTCCGATCGAAATAAATCGTAAATTAAATAATATTCGATGATAAGTATCATATTCTAGTGACACATTTTCATAAAATAAGGCATAAACTTTGCAAGGAAGTCAACATTGGATAATTGGATTCTTATTTTGCTCACATATCCTTGTAGTAGTCAAATGGCTCAATTGTTAGATAGATGTAAGCATATGTTTTGGCTTGATGTTTGCTGTGAAACCACCCAGCCACTTGCTGGTTGAGTGGTTTTCTGATAATTACCTGATAATCATTTCTCCTTTTCCTTAAAAGAAACTAAAATTCCTTTCAAAGTAATCCATTTTAAGGAAAGGCGGCTTGCTCATTGGCATTTCATGTTCTTGTTTTGTTATTGCTGGCAGTATTTTGATACAATAATGCAATATGAATTTTTTTGCAATAATAAAACCTAAGACAAACTTAGTTAATGCGTCAATCAAACACCCAACAGAAAGATTGTGAGTCCTTGTGACGTGAAGTAGAATATTCTATGAATGTGTTATATAGAATATGCCAAATATTAAATTAATTTTTATTTGATACTGATAGCTGAGCAGGTGAATTATGCCACAATATAATTTCATTTTCTGGTTTTGAAATAGCAGGCAGTATTTTACTTCAACAAATGTAATATACATAGAATACATGTTGTTATGTTACCTATGTTAAAAGTTTAATAACAGCCAACAGAAGGAGCTGTTTCAGCAGATAATGTTTGTACCTTATGCATTACCTTTCTTTTCTGCAGGACCATGCTTCCGCTGGGTGGTCGACATTTGCCTCCTGAAGAAGTTGAGCAACATGAAGACCACCAGATGAGGTGTCTGCAGTTCATGTGGAACTCTGCAGACTACAAGTGTTATGTCAACCACAACCAAAGTGCTGTGATCATGGAGGCATGAACCTCATGACAACACTTCAGATTTGCAGTTGAACCAAAGTGTGATTCAAACCACCTGTGGCATCTCACTCAATGTGTGAACAGTGTGATTATTGTGCAGTGTTCGGCTGCAACTAAGACATTTATTAGTGACTTGTTTTGCAATTAGCCACCAAAAGCATTTTTTTGGGCTGGCTGCTGTAATTTGGTTGTGCACTGCGCAATAGTGGTAGTGTTTTGTCACTTGTCAAGTTGTCAGTTGTGCATGTTGCATGTTTCTCTTCCCTCGGCCCTCATTATCAGTTAAGTGGTGAATTGGCATCACTCAGTCTCCCCAGATCTCCATTGACTGTCTGTCAACCACCTAACTTGAGATGGTATTTGCTAATAGTGTCAGAAAAGAAGTGATTGTAGACATTTTTAGGAATATGAGCTCCGTTTCATGCGTGTTCCAGTGGTCATTTTGTCACATGTCCCATAGTGTAATAAATGGAAACTGTGTTTCCCTTTTGAAGGTACTCGCGGATGCAGAAAGCGTTGGGCCTAATTATTAAACGCACCCTCCTATCAGCGACGCACGAAATCGACGAATATCATCCTTTTTAGAACAGGAGGAAACGAAAACTTGTGAACATAGCTGTACCTACAACAGTGCATAAGGAATTGAAATTCTGGGAGTTTTTGAAATTCGGAGAAACTCAAGTTGTCGACAGGTATGCCCCCTTGCACGTCAAAGACCGCCTAAAAAACAAACGTCTACAAGTGAAGGCAGTATTCGTATGTTCGTTGTAATTGCAGCAGCCTAGCAACATGTATTGCGGTCCGATGGCGAATTGCACTCGTGCTCAAAAACTATGCCGGTAACTGCCAATGCACTTAGGTCATAGGTGAGGAGAGGAAGGGTTATGTCATATGTCAACATCATAGAAATGGCTTCATCTGAGCTGTGCCTATTGTACATAATTCAACCAATCTATGCATTTCGTTTCTTGCAATCTACTCATGCTTTCACTCCAGCTTCAGAGTAATCATCCCATATTGTACGTCTTAAGATATTGATTTCTATGGCGGTTTGCAATTACTAGCCACGTCTCACCTCAGTTTGGTGGCCCCGCATCGGCCCACTCAGCCGCTCTAAAATTGACTTACGGAGGAGGATGGTGGCTTTTATTTTAGCTTCTCCGCCGACTGCGGGGAGCGCCGTCGCCGAGGTAGGAGCAATAATTAGCTTATGTTTGGGACTAATTTCCACGCTTAATTAACATTTTAATGTTATTTTAATTAATTCATGTTAATCCTTGACGCATTCTCTTTCTATTGATACCATCCACCGGTCTGAGAATTACTGCCTTGCTGCGTAAGGGCCGATAAAAGATCACGCTTTTAGGGGTATCTCTTCAACATGGGGCAGGAGCAATAAATAGAGTGCTCTAATTTTAGCTTATTTCCCTGGTATGTCACCAACTGAAATAGCAAAAAGCGCAAATCAAGCACTGTTTTACCAAACCTAGCATCTAAATGGCCCTAATAATGCTCAGGTAATGCTTGCTTCACTTATTACCTAGGTTATATTGATATCCTAGCACCTAGGCCATCCCCCTCGGCCCTCACCGACTTCACCTGGCTACAGCCTGCCACCAACTGCAACCATACTTGTCAGGAGGCCCCTAAATGTCAAGCGCCCATCGCACTTCAAACCCATACTGTTATAACTGGGAACGTTTGCTCTCACCACATGGAGTCCAATGCTCTACCAACTGAGCTTGAGCTATGGGACTGGCAAAAACAGGTTGTTATTTTTGGGGTTTACAGGGAGGTTATTTTTAGTTTTTAGGTTGTAGCATATAGGTTGTAGGTTAGGTTAGGTCAGGCTTGATTAAGCTGGTTTTGTTTGAAAGAAGGATCTCCAGACTCCAGGCATATATAGCATCTCTCCTTGGTCTGAAAACCTTCATGTGACATCTGCTCTACGAATACCGTGGGCTTAATGTGTCATACTCATATACTGTCCATATATGATGCAGTTCTCTCACACTTCTGACTTCACAGTGTCTTTTTTCTAGTCCTGGGTGGATCTACTGAATATTGTCTATTTTTGTACCATGCCATTGTCTGTTGAGTCAGCTTGGTAGACTGCAGATCGTGGTATGGTTAAGAAAGTCAGAGAAAAAATTGTACCTACTTATTTTCTGTTTGAGTCTTAACATTCATGAGTATCCCAATTCCTTTGTGTTTTCAGGAATCATGGCTGTATGAATGAATGATTTATAAAAGAATATTTGCTTCATATTGAAAGATCATCATATATTAATTTGTTGATTCCTTCACTGACTTTCACTGAAGCATGGCAGAGGTAAGCAAACTGTCCTGCTTGTGACCTGACAGGCTTGGTGAGAGGTGTGGATTTTCTGTCAATGTGATGTGATGAGCATTGAGCACGAAAAACTGATTGATTCTACCAATGATACAAAGTGCTTAACATCACAAACTATGTGACATCAGACATGTTGACAAAAATTGTCAGTTGCAGTTGTCAGCTGCTTTTGATAACTAATTGATTAGATGTGCTGAAATGGCTGTCTGTGTGGGTAATCATATATATGATGACTTGCTTGACCAATGGGAGTGAGTGCATAGTGTCAGTATGCTGATGAATCATGACTCATGAGCTGTCTGCCTTCCCAGGCCCTGGAGCTAAAGGAGAGGGGCAATGCATGCCTGAAGGAGGGCAAATTTCATGAGGCATTGCTCCACTACTCTCATGCCATCAAGCGTGAGCCCAGAAACCACCTTTTGTACAGCAACAGGAGTCATGTGCTGTTGAAGCTGGACCAGCACTATCTGGCCCTGGAGGATGCCAGGAGGGCAATCCAGCTGGAGCCAAAGTGGCCAAAGGTAGGTGTCCCTGGCAAACAAAATATCACAGCTCAAGACTGCCTTGCTCTGTAAAAATAGGCTAATAGCTGTGCTGCTTAAATGTTTGGTGTGTGATGGGTGCTTGATAGTTTGAGTGTTACCCATCTACTACCCATTCATATAAGTTTTTTTTTGTCTGAATTGACTGCATGCGCCTGTTTTGTCAGTTTTCTATCAGTGAGACTCCCACCCTCCCAGCCCCTGAGCACGTGCTGCGCTCCGGTTGCAGGGCTACTACCGGCAGGGCCAGGTGGAGATGGCCGCTGGCTTCTTCTCGGACGCGTGCATCTCGTTCACGCAGGCGCTGGCCCTGCAGCCGCACGACCCGGCCCTGCTGACGGCCATACAGACGGCCACCACGTCGGCAAGGGCCCAGCGCGCCGGTATGTACCGCCGCGGCGCGTCCGAAATGTGTCGCTGCTCGGACAGACCTCCATTGGCGACACGTGCGCAATCATGCAATGGAAAACCAACCTTCTCTCAGTTGCTCGGCACTGTTTTCACATCACGCTGATGACTGTACTCATATATTATTCATGTTCTCATCCACATCGCTCGTCACGAATCCCTTCACGCTGTCGTGGCAGCTCGGCTTGTTTTCTGACCAGTGACGGCGGCGGTGTCCTCAGGTGACCGGCAGCTGCCGTACCTGGGCGCCGGCGCCGGTATCGTGCTGGGAGTGCTGCTGGTGCTCGCCGACCTGCTGCTCACTGCCTCACCAACACTCACGGTGAGGTCGCACATACGCTCACGGTGAGATGTCACCCACGTTCACGGTCACGGTGAGATGTCACGCTCACGCCGTGAGGTACCCGCGCTCACGTTGTGAGAATATGTCACCAGCGCTTACCTTGTAAGATGGCACCCACGCGGAAAGACACACAACACACACGTTGTGAGATATCACCCAGGCGTGAGATGTCCACCTTCGGCTCATACTCCGTCAAATTTCTGGCCACGTGGATGTTCGTTACTTGGCGCGAAGTGGTAGACGTTAGCTGTGTGTCGCGTGTGCCAGGTTGTTCTCTGTATTTGTGTGCCCGATATTTATCTGCATGTTCTGTCATGTGTGTGGTGTAACTGGTAGGCTCTGACCCGGTTCTGCCTTTCCGTGCTGCAGCACCCGGTGGCGCAGATAATGCTGGTACTGCTGGTGGCCGGCGCCGGGTACGGTCTCTGCAAGGGGTACCGGCTGTACCTGGCCGGCCAGAGACGCTCGCTGTTGCAGCCGCCGCTGGACCTGCTCGGCGGCGACCCGGCCACCAACGGAGGCGACCCGGCCGCCGCCGGCGCCGACGGGGAGGACGCGGCCGCCGAACAGCCGGCCGCCCGGCACCACAAGTTCACCAAGGCGCAGGCGCGCAAACGCTACCGTAACGGCAAACGGTGATGGGCGCCGCCGCGCGCGGGCGGAGGGCGCCGCCGAGCGCGGGCGGAGGCCGCCGAGAGGCGGACTGCCGGTCCGACCGGAGAGAGCCGCTGTGGCCGCTGGAAGGGCGCTGTGAGCCGAGGGGAACAGGACGGACCAGGGGAGCGGCAGCTGCATCCATGGGAAAGCCGAGCGGCTGGTGGAACAGCTGGGCCCGAGGGAACAGAGCAGCTGCCCAGCTGGCGAGAGCTGCTCGCCCGAAGCTCAGGGCGAGCTCACAAGGCTGTCATTTCAAGAGTTCGTCTCGATCATGCATCATCGTATGTCAATTGTCATGTATAGGTGTTCTTGTTTGTATTTTTTATGCAATAATGACTGAGATTAATTTTGTTACGATTTCGTCAAGACGAGCCATCTGTTTTAGTCTTCAATAATGAGATTTGCCTTTGCAAGCTGATTCATTTGCCGATCGATTATACGGCTTATATGTGTTTGTTACTGCTTCAATATGACTACCTACCTGTGTAGTGTTGTACCGTTATTTTGTGAAAATAGTCTGAATATTTGTTTGTGTTTTTATTAGCTCAGCTGATCACGTCCCATAAAGAAGTGCTTACATGGATGACTCTTATTTTGTTCTGTCATTTGGATCATATATTTGTGTTGGCGGCATTGCCACCTAGTCATGGGCGGAGCCGGGGTACGTTTGGCAGTGTTGCTCGGATATGGGTGGTTTCCTCGTCATATCCCATAGCCGTTGTGTCCGATCGTCGTGTATGTCACCCAATACAGAATATGGACCGAACTCGTATTGCCTGTACATGGCCTGTACATAACTGCCGTCTGCTGGTCACGTAATTACTGTCGAACATCAATAGCCCAAAGTCATGCCGGATAAAATTCGGGTGCCGAGCATCGTCTCAATTCTAAACCACAGGCCCTGTTCAAAAGGTGTTCAGGTGCCACGTAGGATCTGGTTATCGTAGGATACAAAGGCTTACACCGGCGCAAAGTAGGTTGTAAAGGAGACACCTGACTGCGAAAATAAACTTAGTGTCGCATCTTGACCGTCTGGCATAGGTCCGGCGGTTGCTGAGAGCACTGCATGTTGCTTTTAATTAATTGAATATTTAGGCCGTCTCTGAAGAAATCGTTCGTAATGTTACCAAACTACATGCATAACAACTACCCTCATGGCGTCGCTGGGTCAGGGAAAATCATTACAGGGATCCACCAGCCTGCCGCCGCTCGGCTCCCGGCGCGGACCGTCGCAGTCGCCGCCGCTCGTGTCGTGATCACCGAGCCATCACCAAACCCCGGCCGGCCAGAGATCCGTGGCACAGGGCACTGGACATTAGCCCGAGCGGGGCCGGTCAGCCGCCCATCAAACTCGCCCACTCCGTTAGACGGACGAGTGCCGTATATATTTACCCGTTTGCTTACCAAATACAAGTTAAATATGGACTGCGCTCTCGTGTCGTTAGCTGCCGGATGTCGACACAGGATGAGGCAGCCGACCACGGCCACGCACTGGGAACCGTCGCGCCGCCGCGCCGGCCGGCCGCCGGGGCGCGGCGCGCCGGCCGGCCGACCACGCGCGCCCTCACTCGCGAGTTCAGTTTAGCACATCTACTGTGACGGTGACGGTCGGCGGCGGCGGCGGCGGCGGCGCGCGCCATGGATGGACACTACACAGACCCGCGCCGGGCCTCTCCACACTGAACACTGAAGATGAGTACGGAAGGTGGCGCGGCAGCGTTCGGCGACGGCGCGACACTCAGTGGCGCACACAGGCGCGCCGCAAATGACGCCAGCAAATGTACATCACAACGTGGTCTCTATGCCGCGCGGCGCGGCACGGCGCAGCACGGCGACAGACTTCGGCCCGCCTGACTGGCAGCCCACAGCTAAACGAATACAAAAGCACGACACGGGCGGCAACACACGCAACGGAGCAGCGCCGGGACCGAACGGAGAGCAGGCCGATTCACAACCGAGAGAGGGGCCAGAGACGGACAGACAGACGGGCGGAGCGGGGCGGCGGCGGCGCGCGCGGTCGGTCGCCAGGCTCGTTTGGCACAGTCACAGGAACTGAACGGGTCGGTGTGTCTCGTGTGTGGGTGTGTGCCGCGCGCCACACCACGCGGCGCCCGGCCCGACACGCGGCCGCCGTCGTGAGGACTCGGTGACTAGTTCGGCATTCCTATGATGAGCAAATTAGGAGAGCACTGGTCGCAGCGGACTGGGGCGCCGGCGCACCGGACACCGGCTCGGGGCCCGACATGCGCCGCTCCAGTTCAGGATATGTCGAAAACTCAGACAAATTCGGCTACATAGATCTTTTCTTATAGCTCTCACGAATGGTCCCTGGACAAAACGTACGAGGTAGCTGTAAAAAAAAAAACAAGCACTATTCAATAAGCTATTGGAGCTTCAGTGAGGTTTGTACTCAAAACAACGAACTCGTCACACACACGCGCGCGCCGTCCACTAGCACTCGGCAGTCCTCTGCACGTGACTCAGGCCGCCGCCGGCAATGTAACCGTTCCGCGCACTGCCGTTGCTGGCCTTGCTGCCCTTGCTGCCGTCGCTCGAGGAGAACTGCAGGCTGTGCGCCTTGCTGTTCTCGGCCGACGAGAGCGAGCCGTGGCCGCCGTTGCGGCGCATCTCCTCAAACTCGGCGTAGTTGGCCGCCTCGGGGTCGGCCAGCGGGCGCGGCTGGCGCGCCGCCGGCCGCGCGCGCACCTCCATCTCACACTCCTCGTCACTGAGGTCCTCGGCCTCGGCGATGCGCGGCCGGCGGCCCAGGCCGACGGGCGCGTCTGACAGGCCGTGGGTGAGCGGCGTCAGCACCGTGGGCTCGGCCTCCTCGCGCGCCTCCGCCTCGGCCACCATCTGCGGCCACTGCGTGTGGTAGAAGCTGTGCTTGGCGAACTCGTCGCCAATGTCGTAGTTCAGCAGCTCCTGGACCAGCTTGATGAAGGTGGGCCGGTCGTCGGGCCGGTACTCCCAGCACCGGTACATGAGCTCGTAGAGCCGCTCCGGACAGTTGGCCGGCCGCGCCATCCGGTTGCGCGTGAGCACGTGGTGGATGACCTCCTCGTTGGTGAGTCCCTGGTACGGCTGGGCGGCGTACGTGCACATCTCCCAGAGCACCACGCCGAAACTCCAGACGTCGCTCTGCGAGGTGAACCGGCCGTCTCGCAGCGACTCGGGGCCCATCCATCGCACCGGCAGCAGGCCCTTGCCGCCTGGGGACACGGACAGCCACAGTTAGACTCAGATTCATGTACCCGACCGATCGACGACGGTCAGGCAGTTTTACAGCCAAAGGCAGACCAACACCACCCTGGGTGAAGCGAAGCGAGCTGCACAATGCACATGCCGCTACCCGGATGTATTACCATGACAGGTACAAACTACTTTTTGACGTCAAGGCACGAGTCAAAAGGCGATTAACCGAACATGAACCTCGACATTTACCACGAGTGAAGAGACGCCAGCTATACCGAAATTCACCACCGATACTACACAGGTTCACGCTGCACGTACCCTTTTTGTAGTAGTTCTTCTCGTAGAGGTGCCTGGTCATGCCAAAGTCGCCGATTTTGATGGTCATGTCCTCCGTGACCATGCAGTTTCGCGCCGCCAGGTCGCGGTGCACGGAGTTCATCTGGGTCAGGTACGCCATACCATCGGCAATCTGAATCGCCATCTGGTAGATGTGCTGTGGAACACAGGGGAGTGGTCAGGTCACGGCTGGGTCAGGGCAGTTCGGGTCACTTTTGAGTAGGTGGTGTGACTTACAAGAGCGATGAAAACTGAATAGATCCGGGAGTAGCCGAGATGTGAACGGGGGAGATTGGCTGACGTCTGAAGTAGAGGAGTCGTGCCGATTGAAAGATCAGAAAGAATAGTGACGGTCAAACTGCTGGCTGCCAGGTAGAGACGTCGGCAGAGAGTATAATGGTGTCAGGCGACTGGGGTGAAGATCGGTCGGTCATTCAGCGGGACGGGACAGTGGTAAATTCTCACTGGCAGTACGAGGCAATGATATACCCTTACCAGCAGCACGGGACAGTGATGAAGCCTTACCGGCAGCACGGGACAGTGATATACCCTTACCGGCAGCACGGGACAGTGATAAAGCCTTACCGGCAGCACTGGGCAGTGTTCGGGTACGGAGACGCCGTCATCCTCCGGCCGCATGCTGCGCAGGTACGACTTGAGGTCGCCGCGCGACATCAGCTCCATGATGACGAACGGAGGCCGCGGGATGCTGTCCGACGACTTGGTGTTCATGTTGGACACGATGCCCATCAGACGCACCACGTGGTAGCAGTTGAAACCCCTGCGCGGCACGGAGGGGGCGCCGTCAGCGGACGGGTGGGGATGGGCCACTCGCGGCTGGGCTTGGAGACGGAGCGCTCACGTTCTGGACGAGCAGACACCGGCATCTCACATCGCCAACTCAGACCAGTTTATACCATCCGCGGATCCCACACACGATATATTCGGCGAGTAGACACAGTTCAGTGGAAAGTCAAACAACACCACCCAGCTCGGCGAGCAGTCCGGGATCGATCGATTGCCAGGCAGTCCCCGAACACAAACTACAATAAAAACACCGTGAACTACGCAGCTACACACGAGCCGGCGGCGGCGATTAATCGATATTGCGGGCTGCCACAGACGTAGGCCATTACAATGTGGGCAGATTTGTGACACACCAAACAGTCGACTTCAAATTATGCTTCAAAACCATTTAAACCCAGCGCTATCGCCCCATCCCACCCGGTCCAGTTCCTCGGACTCACTTCATAAGGCTGGCCTCCGACAGGAACGCCTGACGGTCGTACATGCTGGCGTCCTCCAGCAGCGTCTTGATGGCGACGCGACACATGTGCTCGGTGTCGTCAGGCCCGTCGCGCGACATCCTCAGCAGCGCCGTGCCCTCGTACACGCTGCCGAACGAGCCCTTGCCGATGACGTGGTCGAAGTGGACCTTCTCGATGTCCACCTCCCAGTCGTCCGGCTGGTACGAGATCTGGCCGCCTGGGGACAGCGGGCGGGGCAGAGGTCAGGTCAGACCGGCAGAGAAGCGTAACGTCTCAGTAGCCACAAGTACCGAATGGAGCTGATGCGGCAGCCTATAACGTTAAGCAGAAAATGTTGCAGAATGACAGGAGAGAGATGGTGGCTACTTAATTTTAAAATGGCCTCGATTTGTTACAAATCTGTGCAGTAACATGAAGGACTGCCAGTGCTACCATTGCATCCCGATGTTGAGCCATCAGTCTTGAGAAAAAATGCGTCTCTGATTTCCGAGCAATGGAAACTAGATCGGCACACCCACCGTAGTAGGGGTTCCACGAGGTGTAGATGTTGTCGATCGACTGCTTGGCGACCCGCTTGTAGACGACTATGACGGCTACCGAGCAGAGGATCAGGACACACAGCAGGCCCAGCACAATGCCGACGATCGTGTTGGCCGAGAGGGCGCCGTGTGGAGCCTGAGGAGGTTGGGTCAGGTCAGGTCAGATTCGACAGGGCACTAGCACGTGCCCGGCAACAGAGCATTGATCACAGAGCTGCAACAGTGTCAGACGCCTTCCCGTCAACAAAAGAGCGATCGGCATTTGTAGCTATGGGTCAGCCGCGGCGTGCCAGGTGCGGCTACCACAAATCGGATCAAATAGTGTACGTCACACAACGTTTTGGGGCGATGTTATTTGAAGCAGCTTATCAGTAAATCACTACCCAGCCCCACAAGTGATAAGAGAGGTCCACGAAAAGATCGCTCAC